AGACATGAATTCCATTTGGGTGCAGCGTTGCATGACCGCGTCAGTTAAAGTAACGCAGCGCTGTATCGCAGAAAATGGCCTGGTCAGGAGGGGGGGGGGGGGGGGGGGGGGGGGGGGGGGAATCCTCTGGAGGGCAAGGAATTAATCAGAATAGTATTCGTCCGTATCAAAAAAAAAAAAAAAAAAAAAAAAAAAAAAAAAAATCGAGTGCCAGACTGCGCATGCTCGGAAACAAAAAGAATACATTACATGATTGTGGGAAGGATTCCGTCTTATGAGGATTTTCAGATCTTTAGCAACCTATTCGTTTTCAAAGTGAGATGAAGGGCGGCCATACATGGGTCGAAAATCGACTGATATTTCATCCGAAAATCAGACCCAAGAATAATCGGCCGATTTTTGCTCTGTTAGTGGGTCAATGGCACCGGCCGATTTTCGAGGTTCCTCCCCTTTTCGGTGATCGGACATGTTGGAAAATTTGTGAGAAACGACTGATTTTCCGACTCAATGATGGACAAATCGTACGATCGTTTTTCCGAAAAGAAGATGCACCATGAGCCGTGACCTCGAAGGAACAGACGTGTCGCCTGTTATATGGGGTGAACTTTATGACTAGGTCGGCCGATTTTCGAAATCAATGATCGGATTACTGAGCGAACGACGTTTCCAATTTTCGGCCGAAAAAATCGGAATTCGAACCATGTATGGCCTGCATAACATGCAAAAAGAAAACCAGATGATCATTCGCCCGATATTCTCATGGTGTGTACGAGGCTTTAGTCCAGGGATTCGGCTTCCGCCATCATAGTTCGGTCTACATTTGCTCTATCGGATCCCGACAACCTCAGAAGGAATGCTTTCAAGGGCATTAGTGTCACCATCTGTCCAAACACCATGTGGGGGAAGGAAAGCAAAGCAGCTGGCAGTGTATAGATTAGGTACATGGTACAGTATGGAGGGAGGGCGCAGCGCGGAGGGAGAGAACAGAGCGGAGGGAGGGCGCAGCGCGGAGGGAGAGAACAGAGCGGAGGGAGGGCGCAGCGCGGAGGGAGAGAACAGAGCGGAGGGAGGGCGAAGCGCGGAGGGAGAGAACAGAGCGGAGGGAGGGAGGGCACAGCACGGAGGGAGAGCGCAGCGCGGAGGGAGAGCGCAGCGCGGAGGGAGAGCGCAGCGCGGAGGGAGGGAGCAGCGCGGAGGGAGGGAGAGAGAGCAGCGCGGAGGGAGAGAGCAGCGCGGAGGGAGAGAGCAGCGCGGAGGGAGAGAGCAGCGCGGAGGGAGAGAGCAGCGCGGAGGGAGGGCACTGGGCAGGCCAACGTCTGCAGAGAGAAAACCGACAACTTCAAGCTGTATTAAAGCCAAAAGGAAACCTATTATATTGCAGCTTACTGATTTTTAGACGTGACGGCTGCGTTAGTTTCCTTTATTTCTTCGATTTTCATCTGGTGATCCAGACAGTAAGTCTGCTGTTTTTCACAACACAAAAAACTCTCCAGCAGAATCTGATCGGTTTACAGGGATGAGACAAGGGTCTTTTTAACTTAACTTTTTTTTTTTCATCACACAGGGACATAAAGTCCCCTATGTGATGATATTTAGGTGACAGGTTTAATGGGACCCCCAATGTCTCCTCTGGGCTGCACTGGATGTATTGTACCCCCAGCTATTCTAGCGGGGACAGTGACAGCGGTGACACGGAGGGGACGTCACACACACATCGCTTTCCAGGTCACAGTAAGAAGCTCAGCCCTCCTCTCTCCCCTCCACCTGTCAGGTCTGCCCCAGGACCACAGATGGGCAAGTGGAGCCGGGAATACATGGGGGTGGGAGCGTGCGTGCGTGCGGTGGGGGGGGGGGGGTTCTCACCATCATCGGGGACTGTGGAAGCACTGGGCGGCAGCGCAGCTTCCCCACTGTTTCCACCTGACAGGCAGGAGTCCCCATGTCAGTTTTAGACACAATCCTGATGGCTGCAGCCCCCGATTGTGTGTAGAACACCCCCATAGCAGGTCTCTACGACGCAAGGACCCGGCAGTGAAAGGGTTACACCGTAATTAGGGCTGACACACACTACAGGTAGCTGGGAGTAAATGGTTGGCCTCATCCATGTAAACTGATACATTCTGCTGGAGAGTTTGTGCTTTTGAAAAACAGCAGACTTACTGTCTGGATCACCATGGTGAAAACAGAAGAAAGAAAGCCTGAAAATAAAAACAAATGCAGCCGTCACATCGAAGAATTGGTGAGCAGCAACACAATAAACGTTTGATTTTGGGTTCAATAATGATTTAAATTCAGGAGGAAAACAAATCCGAAGTCCAGCTTGGTGTGATTGGGACATGAAGAGGGACTGTGAATGGCACAGCTCAGCATTGAGCCGATTATCTGCATGGAGTCTGGTCTCCTCTCCTGACCCGCACTGGCTGCTTCATCCCAGAAGGTTCCCGTTGTCACCAGTCCTGGAATCTGTGCCAAGGAGGGACGGCTGCCAACTGCCAGATCAACAGCTGTTGCATCATGTGACCTGTGATCCCGCCATTATCTCAGCTGACATAATAAATGCTGCGTTGTGCTTCTCCCTCTCGCTCCTGAATCCACCAATCACATTCTTCATATCCTACCTGGAACAGATCTGCCGCGCTCTGCAATCATCCATCGTATGCACACAAAACAAAATGGCCGACCACGCCAATCCATTGATGAGCCGCTCGGGAAAGTCAGGAGCTCATGGACAGGACGTGTCACCGCAAAAGCAGTGCGAAGATTTCCCAGCAGGCCAGGAAAAAAATGCTACATTGTAGCAACAATTATTTATCAAAAAGGTACTCGGGGCTTTTTTCCCCTCAGAGAATAGGTGCGGGAACGCAACTGTGTCCCCCCAAAACAACCCACACCCACCAAGCGGCATCACATAGTAGGTGTGGCCTACTAACCATGGGAGGGTCTTAAAAGAGCATTAAATACCAGGGGTGACTTACCCAAAGAGTGAAGAGTTCAGGGGTGCCCTACACACAGGGTGCAGAGTTCAGGGGGGCCCTACACACAGGGTGCAGGGTGGGCTAGGTACACAGGGTGCAGAGTTCATGGGGTGCCCTACACACAGGGTGCAGTTCAAGGTACAGAGTGCAGAGTTTGGGGGTGCACAAGGTACAGAGTGCAGAGCTTGGGGGTGCTCTGGGTACAGAGGCAGAGTTTGGGGGGTGCACAAGGTACAGAGTACAGAGTTGGGGGGGGAGCACAATGTACAGAGTTTGAGGGTGCATGAGGTACAGAGTGCAGAGTTTGGGGGTGCACGAGGTGCAGAGTGTGGGAGTACACAAGGTACAGAGAGGGAAGAGTTCAGGGGTGCACAAGGTACAGAGTGCACGAGGTACAGAGTGCAGAGTTCGGTGGGGGGTGCACGAGTGCACGGTACAGAGTGCAGAGTTCGGGGGTGCACGAGGTGCAGAGTTCGTGGATGCACGAGGTACAGAGTGCAGAGTTTGGGGGTGCACGAGGTGCAGAGTGCAGAGTTCGGGGGTGCACGAGGTGCAGAGTGCAGAGTTCGGGGGTGCACAATGTGCAGAGTTCATGGTGCAGGAGGTACAGAGTTTGGGGTGCACGAGGTATCGGGTGCAGAGTTCGGGTTTGCGCTAGGTACAGAGTGCAGATTTTGGGGGGTGCACGAGGTACAGAGTGCAGAGTTCAAGATGCAGGAGGTACAGAGTGCAGAGTTTGGGGTTCGCAAGGTACAGAGTGCAGAGTTTGGGGTGCACGAGGTACAGAGTGCAGAGTTCAACCGTCTTATACAGCTGCTTACCTCTGCATCTCTCATCGGCATCTCACCTTCACCCCTCTTCAGCTCTGCCCTCTGCACAGAACCCCCCTCCACTGCCTTCATCTTCTCCCCATTCCATAAAAGCTCCCCCCATATTCAGCAGCACTCTAGTACCTCCCCCCCCCCCGCACACAGCCGGCATTTCCTCCTCTCTCTTCAAGTGTGGGGGGGGGGGGGGGGGGGGAAGCAGCATCCAGGCATCAGGGAAAAAAAAAAAAAAAAAAAAAAAAGGCGATCACAGAGGGTGCAGCCTACCGTGCGACCCCTCCTGCCCATGACTGCACTACACCCCGGGCACCTACATCTCCCCTGTCCCTGTCCTGCACTCAGTGGGATCTGCGCAGAAAATTCGATCTGCGGGAGCCGCTGGGAGACAAGCTGTCAGCAGTAAACACAGAAGCTGGATTTCCAGATTTACAAATGATAGAGGTGAGCAGGGGGCCGGAGCAAGGGGTGGCAGAACGGAGTTACACCAGGTTCCAGCTGAAAAAAACCCGAGGTGCTTACAGGTGTACCTCGGTTTATGAATTTAATTTGTTCTGCTGGACATTTTGTATTGTGAAAAATTTGTAAACTGAAAGAAGTTTCCCATAGAAATGCAGTGAAAACCAATTAATCCGTTCCGGAGGTCAGTAAAAAAAGTATTTCATCTGTTCAAAACTTTTTATAAATGTGCACTTTAACCCCTCGCCTACCGGACACTTTCACCCCCTTCCAGTCCAGGCTAATTTTCAGCTTTCAGCGCTGTCACACTTTGAATGACAATTGCGCGGTCATGCAACACTGTACCCATATGAACTGAAAGGGGTTAAAGGATCCCTGAACCCCAGAAGGTAATATATTGCAGCTTTCCAGCCCTTGAAGATGAGATCCGGTGTCCAGAGAAAAAAAAAAAAAAATTTAAATTCAGAAGCTGCAATTCCTGTGACTGCTGACTTTTAATTTAAGGTCACTTACCTGTCCTGGGATCCAGCGATGTCCTCGCCCGAGCCGATTCCTTATCCAGCTTTGGTTGCAGGGGCCGACATCTTAACTAAGGGCAACTGGCAGTGAAGACTTCCAGCTTCACAGCCGGTTTCCTGCGGCGCTGCGCTATGCGATTGGTCCTGCAGTCTTCTGGGATCTGTGATGTGTCCCAGAAGGCTGCAGGGCAGGGGAGGAGGGGCCGGTGAACTCAGCCAGAACTCTTCTCCAATCCTCCCCTTCTTCCACTGTCCCCAATCCATTTGCTGATAGAACAGAGCCTTGAGGGCAAGCTGCACATGCTCAATTTGGTGTGTATTACTCTAGAGGTTTTTTTTTACAGGGGGGGGGGGGGGGGTTCTTGGGAGAGTGCACATGATCAGCACAGGGCCAATCAGCACTGTCCAGACAGAGGTCAGGGGTTATATAGCCTCATAGGACGATCAGAGGAGAATGAAAACTCCTCCTACAAGCTGTAACCAGTGCTCTGCTGGACACTGATAGAAGTCACAAGAGTGCTATATACTGCTGGTTAGAAAAGGTATTTAGCAGTTTATATTTACTAAAATATTTGCATTTTATGTGTGTACTGTGGGATGGGAGGCCAGATATAGTGAACGCAGGGGCCGGGGAGAGCGGATATAGTGAACGCAGGGGCCGGGGAGAGCGGATATAGTGAACGCAGGGGCCGGGGAGAGCGGATATAGTGAACGCAGGGGCCGGGGGGAGAGCGGATATAGTGAACGCAGGGAGAGCGGATATAGTGAACGGGGAGAGCAGGGGCCGGGGAGAGCGGATATAGTGAACGCCGGGGAGAGCGGATATAGTGGGGCCGGGGAGAGCGGATATAGTGAACGCCGGGGAGAGCGGATATAGTGAACGCCGGGGAGAGCGGATATAGTGAACGCCGGGGAGAGCGGATATAGTGAACGCCGGGGCCGGGGGAGAGCGGATATAGTGAACGCCGGGGCCGGGGAGAGCGGATATAGTGAACGCCGGGGCCGGGGGAGAGCGGATATAGTGAACGCCGGGGCCGGGGAGAGCGGATATAGTGAACGCCGGGGGGGGGATATAGTGAGCGGATATAGTGAACGCCGGGGCCCGGGGAGAGCGGATATAGTGAACGCCGGGGGGAGAGCGGATATAGTGAACGCCGGGGCCGGGGAGAGCGGATATAGTGAACGCCGGGGCCGGGGAGAGCGGATATAGTGAACGCCGGGGCCGGGGAGAGCGGATATAGTGAACGCCGGGGCCGGGGGAGAGCGGATATAGTGAACGCCGGGGCCGGGGAGAGGGATATAGTGAACGCAGGGGGGCCGGGGAGAGCGGATATAGTGAACGCCGGGGCCGGGGGAGAGCGGATATAGTGAACGCCGGGGCCGGGGAGAGCGGATATAGTGAACGCCGGGGCCGGGGAGAGCGGATATAGTGAACGCCGGGGCCGGGGAGAGCGGATATAGTGAACGCCGGGGCGGGGAGAGCGGATATAGTGAACGCCGGGGCCGGGGAGAGCGGATATAGTGAACGCCGGGGCCGGGGCCGGGGAGAGCGGATATAGTGAACGCGGGGCCGGGGCCGGGGAGAGGGGATATAGTGAACGCCGGGGCCGGGGAGAGCGGATATAGTGAACGCCGGGGCCGGGGAGAGCGGATATAGTGAACGCCGGGGCCGGGGAGAGCGGATATAGTGAACGCCGGGGCCGGGGAGAGCGGATATAGTGAACGCCGGGGCCGGGGAGAGCGGATATAGTGAACGCCGGGGCCGGGGAGAGCGGATATAGTGAACGCCGGGGCCGGGGGAGAGCGGGGAGAGGATATAGTGAACGCCGGGGCCGGGGGGAGGAGAGCGGATATAGTGAACGCCGGGGCCGGGAGAGGGGAGTGAGCCGGGGGAGCGGATATAGTGAACGCCGGGGCCGGGGACGCCGGGGCGGATATAGTGAACGCCGGGGAGAGCGGATATAGTGAACGCCGGGGAGAGCGGATATAGTGAACGCCGGGGCCGGGGAGAGCGGATATAGTGAACGCCGGGGGCCGGGGAGAGCGGATATAGTGAACGCCGGGGAGCGGATATAGTGAACGCCGGGGAGAGCGGATATAGTGAACGCCGGGGCCGGGGGGAGAGCGGATATAGTGAACGCCGGGGCCGGGGAGAGCGGATATAGTGAACGCCGGGGCCGGGGAGCGGATATAGTGAACGCCGGGGCCGGGGAGAGCGGATATAGTGAACGCCGGGGCCGGGGAGAGCGGATATAGTGAACGCCGGGGCCGGGGGAGTGAGCGGGGAGAGCGGATATAGTGAACGCCGGGGCCGGGGAGAGCGGATATAGTGAACGCCGGGGCCGGGGAGAGCGGATATAGTGAACGCCGGGGGGCCGGGGCCGGGGAGAGCGGATATAGTGAACGCAGGGGCCGGGGAGAGCGGATATAGTGAACGCAGGGTCCGGGGAGAGCGGATATAGTGAACGCAGGGTCCGGGAGAGAGCGGATACAGTGAACGCAGGGTGAACGCCGGGGAGAGCGGATATAGTGAACGCAGGGGCCGGGGAGAGCGGATATAGTGAACGCAGGGTCCGGGGGGGAGAACGCCGGATACAGTGAACGCAGGGGCCGGGGAGAGCGGATATAGTGAATGCAGGGTCCGGGGAGAGCGGATATAGTGAACGCAGGGTCCGGGGAGAGCGGGGAGGCGGATATAGTGAATGCAGGGTGAACGCCGCCGGGGGGAGACCGGATACAGTGAACGCAGGGGCCGGGGAGAGCGGATATAGTGAATGCAGGGTCCGGGGAGAGCGGATATATAGTGAACGCAGGTAGCCGGGGAGAGCGGATATAGTGAATGCAGGGGCCGGGGAGAGCGGATATAGTGAATGCAGGGTCCGGGGAGACAGGATATAGTGAATGCAGGGTCCGGGGAGACAGGATATAGTGAATGCAGGGTCCGGGGTTTAGTAACACTTTAATAACAGAACTCATGGCATATTTTAGTAGCTGTACTCAGATATGATAAGATGCCGCTCAGTAAATTGTTCGTGTTTGAAGTTCGCGGTTGAACATTCTGTAGGTTTGGATGTTTGCCTGTGAACCGAATGGGGGGGGGGGGGGGGTTCAGTCCATCACTATTTGCAGCATGCACTTCCTGATCAATACAGTACAGTGACATCACACACACGACTTACCCGTCTGATACAATCGCAGTCCAGGTACAGCAAAAACAAAAAGAACAGAGAGAGGAGTTAACGGTTTATCTGCCAGTAATGATCACACTATACAAGGATCTGCAATAATCAGCACAGCAGCATGGAGGTTCCCATCCAACAGGCCGATGTATGTACTGCAGGGAGATGGAATATAGTTGGGGGAGGTGTATGGTAGGTCAGGGGTTAAGACTAAACCCATAATCTACAATACACCCCCTCAACTACATACAGATCTATAATGCACCTCCCCAACTAAATACAGATCTATAATACACCTCCCCCAACAAAAACAGATCTGCAATACACCTCCCCCAACTAAATACAGATCTATATTACACATCCCCCAACTAAATACAGATCTATAATACACCCCCCTCCCAACTAAATACAGATCTATAATACACCTCCCTCACTACTTTAATGGGGGAGGTGTATTATGGATTGTACCTCCTGGGCATGCTTCCTCAGCGCCATCTCCTGGGTGATGAGCTGCTGGTTGTCCTCTTCAGTAGCTCCAGCTGGTGTCTCTCCACACAGGCCGCCTCCAGGATCTCCAGCACAGCCACCACCAGCGGCAACCACTTCCCCTCATGGCAGCCGATCAGCAGTTCCTGGTAGATGGAGGCCGCCAGAACGGAGACCTGCTCCGACCTCCTCCTCCCGGGACACCAATCTGTCCTCCAGCTCCATTACAGACACTGACCGGGACTACCACTGTAGTGCCCATCGTCCCCCCCCCCCCCCCCCCCCCAAGCCAACACACCCAACCACTTACCATTAAGCCCCCCCCCCCCCCCCCCCCCCCCCCCATTGCCACCACCGCTAACACCATATCAAAAGAACAAACCTGTAAATTAAGCAGCAGGCCATCCCCGCACCCACCATGTCATCCCCGCACCCCACAGGCCAGCCCAGCACCCCACAGGCCATGCCCACAACCTGCAGGCCCTCCGGGCCATCCCCGCACCCCGCAGGCCATCCCTGCACCCACCATGTCATCCCCGCACCCCGCAGGCCATCCCCGCACCCCGCAGGCCATCCCTGCACCCACCATGTCATCCCCGCACCCCGCAGGCCATCCCCGCAGGCCATCTCCGCACCCCGCAGGCCGTGCCCGCACCCCGCAGGCCGTGCCCGCACCCCACAGGCCAGCCCGCACCCTCCAGCAGGGTGCAGCCTCCTCACTAGGTCCCCGTCCCTTCCGCCTCGTGTCGGTTACGCCGCTGGTCACAGCCGCACGAGAGCTGCGAGGACTACATAAAATGGCCTGGTGGGCCAGATTCAGCCCCCACACGTCATCGATAGTAATCCTGTTTTGCTCCTCCCCCGGCAGCTACATAAAAGGTTATGTAAGGGGCTGGGAGGAGGGGCAGAGGAGCTAGGCCAGCACACACAGTAATTAGACACTCCCAAATCACGAAAGGACTACGACCTGCAAGGAGGGAGGGGGCGGTGCTAGGGGATGGACTCTTTCTGGAGTTGTCACCTTTCCTAGCAAGTTCAGATGGAACATTGAAAGTTAATAAAAGATAAATTTCTGAAAAGGTAAACGCTGCAAGTGAGCCATTCCAGTGTCAGTGCTTTTATCTGCACGATTGAAATCTGGTGACAGGGCCTCTTTAAGTCCATGACTCAACAAGCAGTAATTAAACACACAATATCTGGCCTACATAGCCGCACAGTCACGGTGACACAAGCACCGATTGACACCATCCACGCCACAGTATTCGCATTACTCATGGTGACCAGAGTCTCTCTAATCACCAACAGACCTTGAAGAAGAAGAAGATGTTTACCTAACAGGACAATAAAACGGACGCACCCACATCCTACAGGAGGAGGAGTCTGAGGAATGCTTGCAGAGAAATTTGAAAGGCAATTTTCATGCACAGATACAGTATGGTGTCCAGGGACCTATATCCACAAACGACCACGACTTTTCTAGACTCCTTTTGTTTAGCTTTTAAAGAGAAAAAAAAAAAATCATTATTTTTTTTTGCTAGAAAAACTACTTAGAACCCCCAAACAAAATATATCTTATTTTTTTTTTATCAGAGGCCCTAGAGAATAAAATGTATTTTTTTATTGTATTTATTATTAAATATTTAATAATGAATAAAGAATATAAAATATTCGTTATAGCAAAATCCACCATTTTATTATAAATATGTAGTAAAGAATATTTGTGGATTTTTTTTGTGCATTAAAATTCGCTAAAGTGTATTTTTTTCCCCAAAATAATTTGTGCTATAAAACTGCTGTGCGACATAAAAAAAAAAATAGCAAAACCCACCATTTTATTATAAATATGTAGTAAAGAATATTTGTGGATTTTTTTTGTGCGTTAAAATTCAGTAAAGCGTATTT